CCCCAAAACCCCAAAACCCCAAAACCCCAAAACCCCATATTGATTGATGTAGAGCAAAAGAGCGAATTTATTATTAGATATAGTTATTTATTATAGAAATGGGAAAGACTTAGCAATAAGTAAGCAAAAAGCGCAAAGACAAGCTATTCTCTGATAGTGAGGATGATAATGAACAACCACCCAAGCTCATTCCAATAAAATAGAGCTTTAAAAAACCAGAGGTTTCTGCTATTTTGTCAAGGCCAGTTAAGCAGGCTGTTATTGCTAGAAAATAAGAGGATGATGATGAAGATGATGAGAGTCATTCTTATGATGAGGTTGATAGTGATCTTGAGATAGCTGAATTAGAGAACGACAAAGCAGCTAATGGTCACGATGACGATGATGAGGATATGGATGACGAGAAGAAGACATTTGAAAAGGAAAAAATTTAGCAGTTTGCTCAGAGAGGCATTAATAATGAGGACATGATCTTGAAAAGAATCAGAGAGATCAGAGCTAATTTCTATAATAGACTCGAGTCAAAGAGACTCATTAAGAAATAAGGCAGAGTTCCCTTCACAGAGCATATGACTATAAGTAAGAATATTGAGTGATGATGTGATAATGATTATAGCTAATGAGCATCCTATGGTTGTGCCTGAAAGCTTGGCAGTTCATGATGACATCAAGAGAGAAATGGCATTGTAAATCAAGTTTATACTTATACTATTATAGCTATATCATGACCAGAGAAAATGTCAAGAAAGGAATGGAATTTTTAGTGCAAGCTAAGCTTCCTATTAGCAGACCTGATGATTTCTTTGCAGAGATGCTTAAGACAGATTAGCATATGGCTAAGGTGAAGAGCAGACTTCTATAGCAACAAGTCAAGATCTAAAATTTTGAAGAACGCTAATCTAGACTTGAGAACAAAAAATTCCATAAGGCCATGAAAGCCTACAAACAGACTGAGAAGCATAAGGAGAAGCGTGATAACATTGATAATATCAATAAGCTTAAAAAGGAGATTAAGGAAAAGGGCGGTGAAGCAGATGAAAAAGAATTCAATAAGCTATTTAATGGAGGTGGTTTCCAAAAAGATGGAAAGAAGGGATAGAAGCAGAGAGTGATTGATGCCATTAAGACCAATCATCATTAGAAACAAAATAAAGACAAGCAGATGTCCTAGTCAAGAAATAAGAATAAAGGCAGCAAATAGATCAAGAAGCCTACCAAGAGACCAGGCAAGGCAAACAGAAGCAAGCACAAGCAAAGAAACAAGAAGATGAGATGATGAGGTTAAGAGAGCAGACTATTTATGTTTAAGCTGAGAGGTTTAAACTTTAATTAAATTAATAGAAATTTATGCATAGAATAATAATTTATCTACCACTTAATGCTATCAATAATCAAATTAATTTATAATAAACAATCAATATGAAATAGGTATTGCTGTCGCTAAGGAGCATTCATTTGAAAAGTAACAACAGATTCATTACTCAGAGTTTGAAGGAGTCCTCAATAATTCCATCTTTAGTTAGAGGTTTTACTTCTCCTGCAGAAAAAGAAATGCTGGATGAATAAGAAGAGTTAGAGATGAAACTACCGAAATTCAATCAGAAGAACAACTTCAATAGAGGTAATGCAGATGACGAGAATCAGTCTTACTAGCCTAAGTTTGAAAAGTAGCAGCAGCATTAGCAATAAATTTAGCAATCAAATCTTGCTGTTGAAAGGTAAACACATATGAATATAATGATGGGAAACTCCAGATCATCTTAAATGGATCAATCAAATAAATCGAGTTAACAAATACACCATGATTTTAAGGAAGATCATAATGTAGCTTAGTTTGATCAGAAAATTACTGCAAAATTTGGAGAGCAAATGCTTAACTCAATAAGTAAAGTTGTCTAAGAAAAAACTAAGAACCCCCATAATGAAGATTCTAGCACTATAACCAATGGCTTGTATAACTCATTTGATGCTCCAGAGAGACTTTACCAAGTCAAACGCATCTTCAATGAAAATGTTGCTCTTAAAAAAAAATTTGTTCAAAAAACTAAATTCACTTCATTTGAGAAAATCAGTGATAATTTGCATTAACTACCAAATTTCTATCTTAATAGAGAAAGAGTCAGCAAATTTCTTGATATTCATAAAAATGAGGTAACGCCTATAAAGAATGATTGGCAAGACAAAAAAATTATTCCTCTACTAGCCAATGGTTTAGATGCAGTTTTGAAAACACCAGGCATTTATCCTGTAGACAGTATCAATTAAGCTGAAAAAGGAAGACTTGGAAACTTCTTTACAAAATTGCCCTAATATTCATAAATTAATGAAGATGCAATTGCTCCTTACTATCCTCCTGGCTAAGATAAAAATCTTTAAAGACTTTGTTACAATATGGGATGTCGCTATCTCATGTCAACCTCCACAATCTCATCAGTACTCTCACATATTTACTTCTGCATATCCAACTTCAAATCCCCTCATTTCAATAATCTTACAGAATCATATGATAGAGAACCATTGAAGTTTATGATTTCACAAAGAAAACCAAACACTGTCTTTTTGACTAAAGTAGATAAGCAAAAGCGAATCTATTCAGTTGATGGTGATTCGGGGTTCATTGAGCCCTCTAATGTTGTCCTTCTAAAGATGGGTAAATACATGGAAAAGATGCTGACTGTTGATCATCAAACATTCAGAGATCATTACATATTGGATTCAAGAACAAACAAACCAAATAAGGAAGTAGGTAAAAATCAGTCACTGTTAGACCCAGATTACTTCAAGTATATGAAATCAGGTGGACTGTTTTTAAGATCTTAGATTGATTGCCAAGGAATTGATAAGGATGGTAATGAAGTTGTATTCGAGTTAAAAACCAGAGCTACTAGCGTTCTCAGATATGAAATAGGAAACTATTTAGACTTTTTGGATTATGAGATTATAAAATATAAGGGAAGAGCTTAGAGTTATGAGAGAGAATTCTATGATCTAGTAAGAGGAGGTTTCTTGAAATATATTATGCAGTGTAAAATTGGCTAGATGTCTGGTGCTATGGTTGCTTATCATAACACCTAGAAGATCTTTGGGTTCGAATATATCAGCCTTTAAGATATGGAAAAAAGAGTTTTTGGTTGTTCTGAATTCTCAGACGAAGTATTTAAGAACTCCCTAGGTCTTGTTGAAAGAATATTCGATTTTATATTGGAAGACTAGGATGGCATAGATTCAGTTAGATCAGATTCGACAAAAGGATCTTAGCAAAATAAGATCTTCAAGGTTGGTTTCTATGCTAATGAGCAGGAAAGACTATTAAATATTATGGTTGAGGTCTTTGACGATGACTCTTTCTATCAAGAGAGATTTAGAAGTGTACTACCAGAGTATATGACAGATCCTATCGATTATTATATCTCACATAAAATTAAGCCATAAGTATACAAATATACAGTGGGGATTTATCCAGTACTGAATGGAGTATTCATTGATCATTCACCAATCCTGTTTGAGGCCGGTGACAGTTTACAAGTTAAATATCAAATTCAAAAAGCTGGTAGAGTGGAATTCAATGAGTACATGAAGTTCTTACACGAGGCTTACAAGTGTGATACTATCAATATAGATAATGAATACGCAGGTACTTGGAGTTTTATTGTATGAGTTTGGATTTCAATGGTAGGACTAGCTTATTCTAAATATTGTTCTTAATTAAACTATAATTATTCGTCTATACTAAACCTTGAAGATTACATGGGGTTTTGGGGTTTTGGGG